CATATGTTGAACTCCAGTCAATAATTACATGAAACCTTCACTTTTGAGATTTCACATAAAAGTAGGGCATGCAAATCTTAAGGTCTAAGCTAAGAACAATACACAGAACAGCATTAGCAAAGATTTTCTTGAGCCTGCTTGTGATATAAATTTTGAATATCCTTGAAAAGGAAAACTCAAGATATTGGTGATAATTTTTCTTTGCAGTACTGGAGATTGAACCCAAAACCTTCATGCTGAGCTATACTGCTGGCCCTTTTAGTTTTCATTTGTTTGTTTTGAGATAGGGTTTTGCTAAGTTGCCCAGGCTTGATATGCACTCTCTTGCCTCAGTTTCCCTAGTAGCAGGGATTACCGGCAAATCTTGATGATGCTTTCCACTAGAGATGCAGTTGAATGTGCATCAATCAAAAGAGGCAAGTTAACTAAGAAAAATGTCCTCAAGTAATAGCATTCTGGGGCGTAGCTCATTATGCACAAAAGATAAACACGAACCTCTGAGGAACATTAGTTACTCTTATTACTTAGCTTACAGATGGATAAAAACCCAAATGTTAATGACTTGTCCTACTGATAGATCATTGTTCTTTTGATTTCTTTATAACATCTTCATTGTGATATAACTCAGTCATCCATTTAAAGTCTACAGTTAAAGTGTAGAATATATTGGTTTTTTTAGTACATTCTTACGTGTGGTTGGCCATCACTTTAGTGATTGTGTAACACTTTCAATTCTAAAACTAATCTGCTTTTTGTTGACACTGTTGATTTCCCTATTCTGGGTAGTTCCTATAATGGACAACATACAGTATGTGATCTTTTGCGACCAGCTTCTTTTATTTGGCAAGATTCATCCATCTTCAGTATCTAAGAGGCCCTCCATAGCCATGAATTCCACACCCATGAGTAAAGGGGTTAATTTAGGGGACGTAAACATCCTTAGATTTTGGTGACCACAGGTAATACTGGAACCAATCCTCAGAGGTGACTGATGTATATATACCCTTTGTTCTTTTTTGTGGCTGAATAATATTCCATTAATTGAATAAACCCATATTGTATATCACATTGGAGTTGTTTCCACCTTTTGGGTATTGTGAATTATGCTGCTGTGAGCATTCATATGTAAATTTTGTGTAGATAACATCCTTTCTGTTCTTTTAACTAAGTACCTAGGGATGGAATTGCAGAAAAACTGCCAGTTTTTCAAAGTGTTTGTACCATTTTACATTGCCATCAGTTATTATGTGAGGATTCCAATTTCATTTCTTTGGCAGAACTTGTTATCAATTGTATTTTTATTATAGTCATCATGGTGGTTGTGAATTGTACCTCACTGTGGCTTGGTCACCTTGCTCATCAGGTACATTAACAGCTGTTGCCTGGTTTACTTCTTGGCCATTTGGAGAAAAGCCTATTTAAGATTCTTTGCCTGTCTTTTAATTGGGCAGATTTTTTATCTTTATGGGCCTGTCATATTGTAGAGACTTGATACATGTTGATCAATTGCCTATTCTGCAGCTTTCCTATAAATGAAATCATATAATATATGGTCCTTTGTAACTAGCTTCTTTAATTTACCCTTTTGATGACATTTGCATGTCATATTTGAAGAAATGTCTTTCAAATACTTTACCTTTTAATTGAGAAAAATCTTTGAACTTTATATGTGAACTAAGATCTTTACATTGTGGATATTTGATACATAAAAATGAAAACAAAATCAGTTTATAAAATATCATACTTAGCATGCCTGTTTGGAGACAGTAGTAATGTTTGTGAGAGCCATAGACCATACTTGTCTTTGTGTAGTTACATGCCCTCGGCCTAGAAGACCGATAGAGTGTTCGTGCAGAATGAATGAACGTTAGGTAGTAATCTTTCATTATAACACAGATTACTGAAGAAATTAGCAATAAGATATATGATTATTGTACTATGAAAACATGTGAATGGATGGAATCAGATCTAGAACCTATAAAACAAGGGTTCCAAGTCACATGCTCATCAGATGTATTAACGGCCATTACCTGATTCTCTTATTAACTGGATCTCTGGTTCATTCATTTCTAAATGTTCTCATTATCTGGTTTTTTGTTGTTGTTTTTTTTTTTTTTTTGTT